GGTGCCTAAGGAGACTAGAAGCTGCCACCGTCATGAAGAAAGGTCACAGCTGTGGCAGATTCACTGAGATGAAGGCCCAGAGTGCTCACATGAGAGAAGCCAGGGACCACTGGGTTTAGAGGTCCTTCCAGACTGGCTTCTCAGAGATTTTCACTCTCATCTCCTGCATCCTCTGGAGCCTGATGACACCTAACCCTCCCCACCACAGGAGACTATGGAGGCAAAATCTACACCCTACTAAGGGCTGGAGCCCTCCTCCATGGGGCAAGCATGAGAACCCTGCTCTGCAAACTCCCTCACTATTTCCCTCTGCCACAATGATGGCGGACTGTGCACCATAGCAGGTTTGCCTGTTTTGCCTCGGATCACCCAGGTAAGCGAGTAGGAAAGGGAAGATTTGAACCTAAGTCTCCTGTAGCTCAAACCCCTGGCTCTGGAGAGAGGGGAACTCACAGCACCATGAAAGCCAGACTAAGGACAGCCTGAGTACTATGCAACAGCTCTCCCAGAGAAGATGCTGGAAGAAAGTAGTCACGGAATGTGACCCCAGCAGCATCCAGCCAGCTCGGTGTGACTGAGCGCATCCTGCAGATGCTGGAAGTGAAGCACAGCACTTTGCTGTGATGAAATGGACCCCAGTCATCAGGTCATGCCAGAGAGAACAGCCAAGAAAAGGAGGAAGGAAGAGAGCCAAGCAGTCCATTTTTCATAATGAATTGGGCTGGGCTGGATGGAGTCGGAATCCCAACGTTTGACATTTTGCTGAGTTTAAAGATTCAGAAAAATCTATTGCCTGGCATGAAGCTTTAAAGTTATACTTCAACTATTCATCAAAGCCTGTGCCTGAAGTCCTTGGTTGAGGCTACTGGCCTGAAGTGGTCCCGCGGCGATGGACTTGGGACGGGACTCCTGGTCCTGATGGCAAAAGCCTGCTTCTTGCCTGCAAATTGTTGGCTTGCTTTGACTAAGAACCTGAGTTATTACACTTGAGCTTAAGGGTCTAAATCCCTGGTGTGGAAGCACTCCCAGAACAAAGATGCCACGACGGTGAACTGCATGACAAAGTAAACCTTAACAGTCCACTGTGAAAAAACAAGAAAAAATAACCCCAACACCACTGGCTAGAGAAACATCCAGAAAAAAAAAATTCTCTGAGTTAATGGTATCTGTAAAGATGCATGCAAAGGGGCCAGGTACATCAGGCCCCACTTTGTCAGCAGCTCACGAAGATTGGTCCCTACAGTTATCAGAGCTCGGTCCCTCTATGTTCGGGGTCAGCCAGACTGTACGTATCTGGGGCTCTGCAGGCTCTGCAGTCTCAGCTCTGCCACCGTAGTAAGAAAGCAGCCACAAACAGAGCATAAATGAATGCACGTGGCTGCGTTCAAATAAAACTTTATTTACAAAAGAATAAATAAATAAACGGTGAGTTGAAGAAGTCCTTTTCCTGATTCCTTCTATGTAGAAATCTACCAGATGCCTAGCAGATACTGTGCTGGGCACAGGAACCAAGGCAGGAGCATCTGAGGAAGATACACTAAGCTAAAGGCATCACTGAAGCTTGATCTCCAGAAAAACCCTTATAAGCTCCATTAAAAAAAAAATAACAAGGGAACCAGACTGTCTCTATATTTAAAAGAGACCAGAATGTGCTGGAAGCAGTGGGAGGAAAGCAACCAAACATCTCCATGCCCCTCTGGCTGGTTGGCTCTCTGGCCTCTCCCCTAAGTTGCCTGTCCTAAGACTGCACATTGCTATCCCGTAAGCACCCCTTTCCCAGGGTGGAGACACAGGGAATCTCAGCTCGACGGTGAGCCAAGGTCTCTGTCTCTCCTGCTTCTATCCACTGAGCCCACTGCAGCCCCGGCAGGAAGGTCAGACACGGACCACACTGCTAGGTGTGGAGGGAGAGGCAGGCAGATCCCCTGTGAGTCTGAGGTCAGCCTGGTCTACACAGAGCTCCAGGACAGCCAGGACTACATACTGAGACCTTCTCTCAAAACAAAAATGAAACAAGAAGAGGGGAAAGGGCCGCGTTGTTCAATGCAGACTTCAGCACCAGGGACAGAACCTCGGCAGGCCCCACTCAGAGGGCCCAGTAGCAGCAGTGTCAAAGCAGGAAAGAAAGGGCCTTGTCCCCTGAGCCCAGCTGATGCAAACAGAGCCACTGTGCCCCACTCTCTGTGACCCTGTGTGGGAGGACTGTTGGTGAAAAGAAAGCAAAAACAAACACTGCACAGATCCCTTCACCCACGTTATTAGCTTGGGAGAGCCTCGCAAACGTGCCCATAGCAGCAACAGCAACATCTGCTTCTAATTGCTTCTCCCCAGAACTCGTCAGCTGGCGTCTGCCCCAGGAGAAAAGCTGGTATTTGCAACAAACTCTTAAATCAGATGGCATCCATAGTGAGTAATTTCTTACATGTTTGGTCTTTGAGGCTAAAAACACAGAATGTACCTTTACGGGAGAGCTGGGCCATGGGGCGTCCCACACCAACGGTCTACTTCCACAGTTTCTCTTTTGGTTTTTCAACACAGGGTTTCTCTGTGTATCACTGGCTGTTCTGGAACTCACTCTGTAGACCAGGTTGGCCTTGAACTCAGAGATCCACGTGCCTCTGCTACCAGAGTGCTGGGATTAAAGGTGTGTGCCACCACCACCCAGCTACAAGTTTTTGATTAACATACCATGCTCAAATGTTTCCTTCTATTAATTATGTATTTGTGTCCTAAAAAAAATGAAGAAGAAGAAGGAAGTGTTCTAGCATTTTCAAAAATTCCTCTGTGTCCACTAGTTTATGGGTAATATTCCCAAATAATTTTGCAAAAAGTTTCTTTTGCAAAAGAGAAGTGGTATTTTGAAAGTGTATGGCTCTATGCTGCCATTTAACGTGTCTCAAGTAAGAGACCCACCAAGTACTCTGAAGCAAGGGTCTCTGTAGGTTCTGCTCAGAAGCCCACAGACCTTCACAGTCTGCAGGGCCCCAGATTTCTAGGGGGTGCACAGTGTGGGCATGAATATAGAATCTGGGCTTCGGAAGCTTTGATGTGCTGTCCACACCAACTCCACAAACAGGGTCTCCAGGACAGCAGCATCCCCAGGTCCACCTAGTGCTACAGACCCTACAATACTGGTCCTCTTCGTGAGGAGACGAAGAGGACGCTACCTGGGTCCGTACCTCTTCCTTCCCTTTGAGCTTCTGTGCAAGTGGAACTGGGCACAGGAATGGCACAGGCTGAGCCTATGTCTTCCTAAGACAAACAGAGAGCAGCCTGGAGTCACCAGGCCCCTCGGTCACAGTCCTGACAAGCCTCATGCACAGCTCTGGCTCCCCACCTCCTCCACAGGTCCACAGCACGCCGTCCAATTGTACAGCCCTCCTCAGCCCAGGCCGAGACACAGCACTGAAGGATTCTTCCAAGCCTGTCCTCCTGCCTAGCACCCTCACCACCCAAGCCCACACAGCTCTCACACAGCTCACACTCGCACTTCCCCTGTATGCACAGTCCACACGGCCATCTTCCTTAACTCATTCAGACAGTCAGGACCAGGCATTTCATCAAACAACAGAGCCTGCCCCCCAAAAGCTCACATTTGAGTGGAGAGAGACAGGCAAATACAAGAACGTGAAAATTCCTCACTGTGCCAGGTGATGGCAAAAACTATGGAGAGAAAGAAAGTGAATTCAGAGAGGGTGGTGGGCAGGGAAGTGACATTTGAGTGACACTCCCTCTGGGGACATACTATAGTAGAGAATCAGAGAAGCACCAGTCCACGGGGCTACGGCAGAAAGTGTGCAGCATGTTCTGGGAAAGGCAGAGCATGGCAGGGCTGGGCTGATAATCAGGGGCTTTGGGAAGATCGTTTAAGCCTTGTGGATCATGGGCTTTCACTGCAATTAAGACAGGAGCCTGGAGATGCTGCCGGCCGAGCCATCTGACTTAGATCACTCTGCTGCTACGTGGAGAACAACGGAAAAGTCCAGCAGCAAGGCTAAGCAAACAGAAACCCCAGGCTCTCGTAGTGCAAGACGATGACAGCCCAGGCCAGCCACACAGCCGTGGACACGGGCAGAAGGGCTGATGCTGTGAATGGAGGAGCACGCTTTGCTGGCAGTCACCACGGGGCTTCTATGGGAAGAGCAGAAGCTGCTCGTGTCTGGGGCCCAAACTGGAGTCATCATGTGTTTGTTAAAAGACAACTGGAGTAGCAGGCTGCAGCAGGGCAGGAGTGGAAGTGCCCCCTCCCCCAGCTTTTAAGCCCCCTGAGGTCAACACCTCCTCCAGGAAGCCCCTGGAAGACAAGCCGACAAGTATTGTGCAGTTCACGTGTACACACAGAACGGTCCCCACTGGAGTTGTATATCTCCTGGAGACCTCAAGGCTTTCCACACAGTAGGTACTCAACAAATCCTCACGGTGATACGCTGTAAAAACTTGTACCTCTGATATTTTACTATCTAAATTGTTCTCTAAAACCTCTGAAAATGATGCTCAGCCCTTGTGAAATATGAAGCCCAAACCATTCTGCCTCAAATATGCAGGTGCAGATCTGTCCCTACTTAGTCAATCAAATTACAAAGGAAAATTCTCCCATAGAAAAGCTGTCCCAGCAGGCACTAAGTAGATGGCTTAGTCAGAAAGTGCTCACCTCGAAAGCCTTGAGTCCCTTAATTCAATCTCCAGAGGCCATGTAAAATGTCAGGTGCAGTGGTGTGAGCCTGTATGCTCACTGCTGGGGAGGCGGGACAGGTACAGCCCTGGAGCACTCTGACTAGCCAACCTACCCAATCCGTAAGGCCCAGGCCCCAGTGAGACTCTGTCTCAGAACACAGGTGACAAATCCTGAAACAGCCAGGGTTTATCAGCCAGGGTTGATCACCGTTGTCCTACACACACATATGCACAGCCACACACACACACACACACACACACACACACACACACACACACACACACACTTCACACATGAAAGGACAGCCTCAGTAAAAGAGTGTCACCTTGCCAGTCCTCATGTCCCAAGCTTTGATTTCAGAGCTGAAGCCGCCACATAAAAAGACGTTGTGATCTTTTGGATGGAATTTCAAGGTGGTGACTCTGAAGTCGCTCCGACCACTAAATACTTGGGTTCCTGCAACACAGACAGACAAGAAAGAGCGAGAAAACACTCAGATCACGAGTAAAGTGGAGACATCCACACAGCTCACCAGAAACAGAGCAGGGTGGCAGCTTATTTATGTTCCCTGTCAAAGCCCTCCTCCAAGACCCCAACTAATCCAGGCAGCTGATCCCAGGACTCTACATTTCCCTGCCCTCTGACGGTTATGTGTGTCATCTCCTTTAAAACATATACCATCTAACCACGGGACAGCCAAAAACAGGCTCAGGGGGGTTTGGGGAATTTCTCAGGCTGCATAGGCAACACAGAGGATTGTATATCCAGGAATCTAAAATCTAAAAGCAGAGTCCATTGGGATTTATTTCAGGGTTCATCTTCTAACCCTTATGACAATGAAGATGGGTTTGTGACAGAGTGCAGCAGGCGAGTGACCTGACGTGCTGGGCCACAAATGACCATGACACGCACAGAGGCCCAGCCACAGAATGAACATCAGGCATGGCTCACCGGGGTCTCACTAGCTCTACAGGACTCGAGACAGCCCTGGTCATTTTTCACATCATCATCAATGGTTGTTGATCCCCTGTGTGCACTGTGGTAAGTATCTGACACAGACAGATACACACGGTGTGGAAACAGCTGTCACTATGGTTTCCTAGAGGTGAGCAATACGAACTTCAGAGGTGTTCATCACTCAGGGACAGTTAAAGCCAGCACCCCCTCCACTGCCCAGTGTGACTTGTACGCCCCACGGCACGGATGGGATTCTCATCTGTCAAAATTAATTTGTCCAAATCTGCACCAAGAAGTCAGACCTGCTTTGAGAGACACCACACAGGGAAGTGCCTATGTTTGGGCCCTGACACATCCCTAGGGGCCAGGTTCATACATGGGGACAGCACCTGTCACCTTCCAATAGCATGGAGGAGACTACTCTAAGAGACAGCTGAGGGGATCTTGGCCACCTTTGGCTCCCAGGACTCTTCCACTGAACCAGCGCAGTGGTAGAGTAGAATATGCCGGGGAGCTGGGAAGGTAGCCGTCTCTAAAATGAATGCCAGACAAGTCTGAGGAGCTGTTTGATCCCAAAACCCACATAAAAAACCAGACTTGGTGGTCATGCTTACAACCCCAATACCAACCAGAGAGGGGGAGACAGGCAGATCCCTAAGGCTCGCTAGCTGGACAGCCTTGCCTCATCAGTAAGCTGAGCTCCCAGTGAGAAGGTGAAAGGCACCTGAAGTTGGCCATCAGCTTCCACACACATGTAAACATGCAGGCCCTGCATGTACACTGCTGGCGGCAAAGACAGCGACGAGATGCCGAGACCTAAGCCCTAGAAGTCTGTGTTGGTGCACTGTGTGCAGAGAGCACACCCAGATAGCCTCCTCTGTCTGCTGACCCACAATATACTGAGTGAGAACTCAGCCAGCTCCAGGTCGTCGGGTAAGGAAATGAAAGTCATCAATCACAGCTTATGAGAGCCACAGAGGGACCACACAGATCCAATGACCAGGGCCACTGTCTCCAAGCCTGTCTGCCTATACCCCATTCAGGACAGACCTAAACAGACAACACTGTCGTGCAGTGGTTTGTTTATGAGTGACAAAATGTACCAGTATGCCAATATAACATAGACATGGTTTTTAAAGACTTTTTAATTGTTTATTTGTGTGTGTTTGTCCAGTATGTGCCATGTATGTGCAGGTGCCAGCATAGGCCAGGAGAGGGAGTCAGGCTCCCTGGAGCTGGAGTTACAGGCAGCTGCCTGACATAGCTGTTGATCCTCCGAAAGGACAGCAAGTGCTCAGAACCACTGTCTGTCTCTCCAGTGCTATTATCCACATCTTTCAAATACCAAAATTCAGACCTCTTACAGAGTGAGGCAAAAAGAAAACAGTCGCTTTTAAATATGTCTTAATATGCCATATATTAAGAGAATCAAGCAGCTTATTCTTTAACCTGTTATTTGTTAACTTGGGGTGAATGTGCATGCGATACAGCCTGCAGAGGTCAGTGGGTGACCTGCAGGGTTGGGTCTCTCCTTCAGCTATGTGAGTCTCGGGGAGAAACTTGGTTCTCCAGGCTTAGAGGCAGATGCCTTTACCTGCTGAGCCATGGTGCCAACCCAAGGGCATCACAACTTCCTAGAAATCATAAAAACCACATGAGCTATAGAGTTACAGCTATGGTACTTTTACTGAGAGCAATAGAACCAAATATGCTTTCTCTTATCTAAATGCAGATGGTGTCCTGTGACTCAGGGCTTGGAAGTCATCCAACTGTAGTTTCTGTTTACCCACTGAACCCAGTGAGGCTGACAGAGACTCCTCCAGGGGACGGGCCAGGATGCAGGGTGCTGTCTGCTGACCACATGGAAGGCATTCTCCACTCCCAGTCTCCAGTGGCACAAAGGACTTAGAGCCCATTTTCTCTGGCAATTAACAGCTCTGCAACTAACCAGAAGGTGTTATTACTATATTCTGATGTTTTCAACAACTTGGTTCAAAGTCAGATGAAATGTTCATTTTAAAGGTTTTAAAACAGGTCAGAAGGTCATGGTGCAGACACGGGTTGTTTTGTTTTCGTTGGGTTCTTTTATTTTGAGACAAGGACCTTGAGTGTGCTAAACAAGCATTCTACCACTGAGCTACACTTCCCACCCCCAAAGTAAAGTCTTCAGTATGTGACACTTAAATCGTTTTTGGCAACACCAAATAATAAATAAATAGATGCATTTTCAGGTACCAGGGCAGGCATAGTGCTATAGTAAAATTTGTGATTAATATGCCCACATTTCTTGGTTCAAATGCCACCACAGAAAAAAAGAAGGAAAGGAAAAAAGAAGTGTGTTTCAAAACATTCTCTCCAGAGTGAAAAACACTAATTATTAATTTTAAATTTGGTGAGGGCAGGGAGATATTTAGGTACGTAAAGTGCTTGCCGTATAAGCACAAGAATCTGAGTCTGAATTTCCAGCACCCACAACAAAAGCTCAGCATGGTGGCAAATTCATGTAATACTGGTGCTGGGAGGAGTAGAAATGTGGGGTTTCCCTGGGGCTCACTGGCCAGACAGCTTAGCTGAATCAGCGAGGCCCAGGTTCAAAGAGGGACCCTGTCTCAGAAAAATAAGGTGAAGAGCGAATGAGAAAGACCTCACTGTCAATCTCTGGCTTCAACCCATGTACACACACACACACACACACACACACACACACACACACACGGAATAGAGTCTTGTTGTGTAACCAACCCACAAAGGCCCCTACTGAACTGCTAACACTCAAGATACTGTCTCCTTTGCACAGACAGGCCCATCCCTGGGCAAACCTTGTTTTGTTTTTACATTTGTTTGGTTGGGGTTTGAGACCAGCTGGGATAGAACTCACTATGTAGCCCAGACTGACCTCTCCTGACTATCTTTATGCCTCAATCTCTGAAGTGCTAGAATTACAGGCATAAGCCACCACTCCCAGCTGGTATGCATTTCCCAGGGCATGGTCACTCTGACCCTGCACCTGCACCCACCCCTGCCCCTGCTCCTGCTCCTACACCTGCACCTGTCCCTGTACCTGCACCTGCTCCTACACCTGCCCCTGCTCCTGCTCCTGCTCCTACACCTGCACCTGTCCCTGCACCTGCTCCTGCTCCTACACCTGCACCTGTCCCTGTCCCTGTACCTGCTCCTACACCTGCACCTGCACCTGCACCTGGTCCTACACTTGCCCCTGCACCTGCTCCTACACCTGCCCCTGCACCTGCTCCTGCTCCTACACTGCACCTGCACCTGCTCCTACACCTGTACCTGCCCCTGCACCTGCTCCTACACCTGCCCCTGCACCTGCACCTGGTCCTACACTTGCCCCTGCACCTGCTCCTACACCTGCCCCTGCACCTGCTCCTGCTCCTACACTGCACCTGCACCTGCTCCTACACCTGTACCTGCCCCTGCACCTGCTCCTACACCTGCCCCTGCACCTCCACTGCACCTCCACCTGTACCTGCTCCTGCACCTGTACCTGCTCCTGCTCCTATACCTGCACCTGCTCCTGCTCCTATACCTGCACCTGCACCTGTACCTGCCCCTACACCTGCACCTGTACCTGCTCCTACTCCTACACCTGCACCTGCTCCTACACTGCACCTGCACCTGCTCCTGCTCCTACACCTGTACCTGCCCCTGCCCCTGCTCCTGCCCCTGCACCTTTGCCTCCAAGAGCACTTTTTTTTTTCTACTCTCTTCTGGAATGAAGGATTGGCAGTCACTTGTTGCCATAGGGAATTCTGGGAATACTTGGCTTTTTGTAAAGGAATACCTGTTCTTCTGTAAGCTACGCATGTGCTCAAGGCCTTCAGGTATGCAGCAAGGTGGATAATGCTTACCATCTGCCCTCCAGTAGCCCAAGTATTAAACAGAGTAAAAATGGACCAAGCTGGACTGAGAAGGAAATCAGAGAAACATCACCCTTTACCATAGCCACAAATAACATAAAATATCTTAGGGTAATGCTAACCAAATGAGTAAAAGACCTGTATTACAAGAACTTCAAGTCTTTAAAGAAAGAAATTAAAGAAGATGCCAGAAAATGGAAAGATCTCCCATGCTCTTGGATAGGTAGGGTAGGACCAACACAGTAAAAATGGCAATCCTAACAAAGCAATCTACAGATTCAATGCAATCCCCATAAAATCCCAGCACAATTCTTCACAGACCTTGAAAGAACAATACTCAACTTCATACGGAAAAACAAAAATTCCCAGGATAGTCAAAACAATCCTGTACAATAAAGGATCATCTGGGGACATCGCCATCTCTGACTTCAAGCTCTACTATAGAGTCATAGTAATGAAAACAGCTTGGTATTAGCACAAAAACAGGTGAACCAATGGAATCAAATCAAAGACCTCGATATCAACCCACACACCCGTGAACACCTAACAAAAAAGACAAATATAGCATGTACTCACTCATAACTGGATAACAGACATAAAGCAAAAGATAGCCAACCT